ATTTATATTAAAAAATAAAAATTAATATTTAATTTATTAACTATTTAATTAAATTCATTCATTTAATATTAATATTAATCATAATATTAATTTTTATATTTTTTATATATATTAATGATAAAAATATGTTATTAATCTATATTTTAAGGGAACAAATTAAAAAAATTTCTTTTTAATATTTAGAAGGTTTTAAAAAAATTATTTTTAACTCTTTTGTAATTATTTTATTTGATTGGATCGTTGGCTCCAGACTTCCAAGCTCTGGCGATCAATATTTGAAACGGTGTCGTTGAAGAACTGTGACCAGCAGAACTGATTTACAGTTTGACGCGGAAACCACCGGCGGTGAAGATCAACGGACAAAATCCCACATGGACAATAAATTCCAATCCATTAAACCGCATCATTTTTTCTTCACTGATAAGGATCACCGGATTCAGTGACGACTACGCCGAGCAGAACCAAGTGGCGCAGCAATATCTGAGATGGGGAAGACCGTACTTGATTCCGGAATCAAGGACATCTTGGAGAATGAGACCATCATAGATATAGCTGATTCAGTGAGGGAGTATTATACAATCTGGTTTTTCACAGCATTTCAGTCTAAGCTGGTATGCAAATTTTTTTTACCTGAAATATTAACTTCCATGTTGTATATGGTTTGAAATTGAGTTTTATCGTTTGTATTCTTTAAGAAAAGACTTGTTCTGGAAATGGGAAGTCTGCGGAAAATTTGTCCCCAATGTCCCAGGACCCTAGCCAATATCTTGATGGCACTGGCATTTATATCCAAGGATCCAAGTGGGACGGCTTTGCAAATGGGAAGGGTGATTTCACCGATGGACCTAATGAAATCCAGAATCCTGAAGACTTCTTTGAGGATGACGACTTCAACAACTATGGGTTCAATCCGGCGGTTGGTTCTGTAGGGAGGTCAGTTGCAACTACTATCAGAGCAACAATGCCTCCGGAAGGTTGGAAAATTCCGTGTTTAAGAAACTTCCCAATGGTTACGTAGGAGAAGTTCCAAACCCCACATGGGAGTACCATAGATACATTTCCTATTCAAAACCAGGCAAGTAATAACATTTCTTTCAAACACCTCATCATAAACCTGCCTCCCTGAACTCAAACACCCACATTTAAAGTATGATGTTATCAAAGCATTTCCCACATTTAGAGGTGGCAAAATCTAGTCCGACCTCAACCAAACCCATAAAAAGTAGGTTAGGGTCAACTATTATTGGAGTCATGACCCGTTTAACCCATATTTAATTTTAAAATTTTTTTAAATATTTTTATTTGTTAAATTTTTAAGGTAAAGTAACTTACAAATATAATTTTAAATAAATCTATTATGATATTAGAATCTAGAAAAAACTAAATTATGATGCACCATGTTCCAATAAAATAAGCAAAAAAAATATATTCATTACTAGAAAAATACATTCATAATGAATCTAATGAATATATTTTGCAATAATGAATGTGTTTATCTAATATATTTTAAAATAAATAACTTAGATGAATATATATTTTTTGTTCTTAAGTAAGGTATTTTGTTCTTAAGTAAGGTATTTTGTTTGGTTAAAATGCAGACTTTAAGATGCATCATTTTCATTTTATTGCTGGTGCCAATTCTCAATTTATGATGGTA